CAGATTCTCTGTTCAATGAAGACATAATTCCATATGTCGCTATACGATTCCTTCTTTAAATGTTTTCTGGCCGCGAAGTAAATGCAGCCGGCCGCGCGAAAGCACTCACGGACAAACCCCCTCGAATGCCCCCCTCCCCCCCTCCTCACATCGTCGCCCCTATATATATACTCGTAATAGGTGCGGTGCCGGTGCTTCGAGGTGCGTTTGGAGTGCTTTCGTGCGCACGGAAGGCAGCGAACGGGCGTACGCACTTGAGAATCATATTTTTGCAAAAATCAGTCCAGCTTGCTAGGCCTTACTCGTATTGCTCCACTGTCGCTTGCCATCCGCCATGTTGCTTTTGGGGGTGATCACTGTGACTACCTGTTGATTGCGTGCCGTGTGACTACCCATAGGGTCGTCAGTATTACTAAGGGGGGAAGGGGGGGAGGGGGGGTAAGCGATATCTGTGATGGCTTCTGACTACCCCAAATGCAGTACCCTACGACTACCCTTTTGTTGAGAGTGTACTACCCAACCTCGTTGTCACGCCATTTCTGCAAGAAGTCACTAAAACTTCCAGTAAACACACAAAAACGTCATTGATACAAATATCTTTTAGAATATCGCCATATTTAGTAAGAACCCTGTCAATACGCATTACATGTTGCATTTAAGCTATGAAAAAAAAAAACATAAAACCTTTTTTTCTGCTAGGGAAAACTGAATATTAACGCTAAGTCTGGTAACATTGTAATTTTGCCGAATCTTTGCCGAATCTTTAGAAATTCGGTGAAAGTTCGGCTTGGCCGAATCCCAAGATTCGGTGCCGAATTTTCGATTCGGCAAAAGTTCGGCCCATCCCTACTTATTTTGGTCTACACGAGGTAGGTTGCTGTCTTCTATAAAGTAATCATAATTGAGGAAATGTTTTTTTTTCTTGTTATAGACATAACGACTGATTTTCGAGGGATTAACTCCATTTGCCCCTCGTTGCACCAATGTTTGATTTTTAGGAGTTCATTTTGCAGTTTTAGTTGATCTTGTTCAGTTTCGATTTTATTGTACAAAACACAATCATCCGCAAAAAGCTTTATTGGAACTAATATTCCACAGCGTATGTCATCTATATATATTAAAAATAAAAGCGGTCCTAGCACACTACCTTGTGGAACTCCAGAAGCAACTGGAGTGGGTCTAGACACACAGCCTCAAAGGTCAACGAATTAAACTTTCGATGAAAGATACGAGCAAAACCAGTTTGCAATGATGGGTTACTTAAACAAGGCGTTAATTTTAAGCAACAATTTAGGATGAGACACTTTATTAAATGTTTTTGCAAAATCTAAAAATATGACGTCCGTTTGGCCACGGTTATTCATAGTTTGGAAACGATCGTGCATGGTTTCGATGAGTTGGGTCGTTGTGGAAAGACATCTACGGAAATCCATGTTGATATTGAAACAAAATATTGTGATCGTTAAGGAACGTTAAAATATGTTTTGAAGCAATATGTTCGAGAAGCTTAGAGCACGTTTTACTGAGAGATATAGGTCGGTAGTGTTCCACAAAAGAAACAGAGCCTCCTTTATGTATGAGGACAATTTTGGCAATCTTCCAGGCTTTTGGCACGGAACCATTATTTATAGAAGACTGAAAAATAATAGTAAGATATTTGGCCACCCATTCAGCGTACCGCTTCAAAAACGCATTAGAAATTCAGGCAGGCCCGGGACATTTCTTTACATCTATGTTAAGCAAGAGTTTAATGACTCTCTCCTTTTGAATTAATAACTCACTAATTGGAGGATAATCAGCAAAATCTCTACCTCTTGGTAAATGTTGGCTATCTCGAGTAAACACAGATGAAAAAAAGGTATTGAATTCTTCCGCTTGTTGCTGACTGTTGTCGGAAGTAGTTTTCTTTTTTCAGGGGGGGGGGGGGGGGGGGGAATTGGACATACCGTCAGAATTTGGCCGGCGCTTGCGTAATAAATTTCTTAAGAGAGACATCGTAAAATGTATACTTCGAATTTTTAACAAGCCTCTTCAGATCGTGACTCAAGCTTTGCAGTGTCATTTTCCTAGAGTCATTTGATTTAATTGCATTAGCTTTACGACATCGCTTCATTTCTCTTTTTACATGTCTAATTTCTATAGTGATCCAGGGTTTCTTATTTCTTGTTTTTTTTATACGCGTAGGCACAAATAAACTAATACAGCGTGCTGTCACATCAGCAGAAAAATTCCACAAAACTTCGGTAGCAGCATCCAACTGGTAGAGTGACTGGAAGTCGCCAAGCGATTTCTCAAGATAATCTGAAATGCTAACGTAATCTGCTGCCTCAAAATTAAGGACCTTTTTATGCGGAGGGCGACCAAGCCTGCAAGGGCTAAAGTTTAGCGTTATGCATGTCATTTTGTGATCTGAGGTGCCTTCAAAAAGTTCAAATTCTGAAAAAAGACGTGTTAGGTTTGTGGAAACAAAGATTAGGTCAAGTAATGATGATGCAGCAGAAGTCGCTCTTGAGTTTTCTGTGACAAAGTGAGATAAATTATAACCAAATGCAATTTCCAGAAGTTGCTCACAGCTGGCCCGTCTCTTGTTCCCACCGAAAGCATACTCCAGTAAATGCCTGGTAAATTAAAGTCGCCCACTAACAAGATGTTTTATTATGACATAGTACAGAGTCCATATATTGTCGCAACCTGACTAAAAAGTCAAGTGGGGAATTATATACTGTATACACTGCCCAGGACTGTAACCCGGTCATTCATTAGAATATGGACCCACAGAGTTTCGATATCTTTAACCTCATCCAGTACAGTAAATACAATATCACTTTTGATCAAAATTGCTACGCCTCCGCCACGTGCTTCTCTATCTTTCCTAATTATGGTACAAGTTGGTGGTGTAATTTTACTGTCTAAAATATTGCAATGTAGCCACGTTTCTGTAATAACCATAGCGTCGGGTTCGTGTTCAAGAACAATGCTTTCAACTAGGTCAACTTTATTTACAATACTTCTGGCATTTATGTCAATTAGTTTGAAGCGTGCTTTGTTGTAAAGTTGTTGATCCTTATCCTGCGTACTCGGATATGATGAGCACCGATATCGTTCGTTTCTAAACTCGACCCAGGCATAGAAAACGTTGTTTATTTTGACCTTAACACAAAACAATCTAGCTTTTGCGCCTTCCTTGCTTTCATCTGCAGTAGAGGTCTACAGGTTCTTTCGTATCTCCACAACTATTTTTAAGAAATCCTCGTTAATGCTGATTTGGGTACCCTTTAGTTTGGTGCAGTTGTTAAGAATTTTCATTTTATCCCGAAAGTCAGCGAATTTCACAGTAACAGGCAGAATTCTACCAGATATGTGCCTGCCGAGCCTGTGAATTCATATGTGTATATATTTTTTTATTTTCGTTTTTTTGCTGCCGGCCATTTCAGGGGCCCGAGGACCAGTCAAGCTGCATATTGAACTTTTTTTCCGCGTGTCCCACCATCACAATTGATGGAAATAAAAAGATATATTATTATTAGTATATACAGCTTCGCTGTAAAACAAGATAGGCTTTAAGCGTTATCTCTTTTGGTTAGATGCAGTATCCACCTCAGAGGAAAGGTTACAGTAGCGAGTTTTATCATAACGTACCGAAACGCTTTCAGTACGTAAAAAAAAACAAAAAAAAACAGTGTTGTTCATTTGCGCCAATATAATATGCGGTCTGGGCTCGGCCCATGCGCTGGAGTTAGAACGCTGTTTAATTTCGTACACAAAGTTTTTGGCTGAAGTATTCTAAAACTCGCTAGTGTCAGCGCATACCAAGGCGTGGCAGTCGAATGTCATGGCCAATAAAAGACTCGAGACATTTAGAGCATATAGTAGCAAATCTTTATAGCCCTGAGTATACGTGAGTGCACATTTATATAGTATACTCGTGCATGCGTTTCCTAACTTCGGTTTATGAGTGACCTATTGTGTCTTAAGAAGTTGCATTTCGTTTGAGCAATTATAGCAATGAATTGTAACCACGCTGTGAAATACCTTAATGAAACTTTGGGCCATCAGCAGCCTGCGCAGTGCCCGCTGGATCGATGTACATGGTGCCAATGAAGACTCAACTCGAGTTACACCACACAAACTAAAATGAGCCTCGCTAGGACAAAGCAGTGATAACGTTTATCACGAATGACGAAAATAATCTCTGGAGAAGGGGAACAAGAGGGACAAAGGACAAACATAAATCTCGAAACACAACTAGGTGACTGGCGCGCGACCGAAAAAATTCGCCTGGTCCGGGTATCGAACCCGGGACCCCTCTATTTCCAGCTTCACCAACAAGGGTGAAGCTTGCATATTAAGGTTATGATTAGAATGCATTTAAATGCAAAGGTGCAAGCCAGCTGGACCAAAATGACGAAAATAATTTCCGGAGAATGGGGAACAAGAGGAACAAAGAGCAAACACAAACTTCCAAACACAGCTAGGTGACTGGTGCGCGACCGAAAAAACCCGCCTGGTCCGGACCAGGCGGATTTTTTCGGTCGCTCTATTAACTAAGCTAACCCCTCGGTAGCTCAATTGGTAGAGCGCTCCACTGGAAATGGAGAGGTCCCGGGTTCGATACCCGGACCAGGCGGATTTTTTCGGTCACGCACCAGTCATTTCGCTGTGTTTGGAGATTTGTGCTTGTCCTTTGTCCCTCTTGTTCCCCTTCTCCGAAGATTATTTTCGTCATTCTGGTCCAGCTCGCTTGAATCATTGCATTTAATTGCATTATAATCATAATTTCTATCCTCCAAAGCTAAATCAATGTATACGGTTATATAGCTACCAGGTGTGTCGAAGCTGTCACGTCAGGTTCACTTGCTTTCTAGAAGAAGAACGAAACATTTGATGAAATTGTTTTCACGATGAATCTTCGGGTAGTAAGCTTGTTCGCTTTCGTTGATAAACAAGAGCAATAGAATAAAAACGAAAAAATGATCGATACGGTTTTTTCGACTACTTACTTGTATTAGGCAGTATGGACATTTAGGCGAATTGATATGAGTTGATCGTTAAATGCAGCGGGTAAAGGATAAGGATAGAAAGGAAGGACCACACAGGACAAGCGCTGACCAACAACTGATATTTTACTGCCTCCGCGAACACAACATGCCATATACACATTCCGATTAAAAAATCAGTTGTTACTCAGCGTTTGTCCCGTGTGGACCTTCCTTTTTGTCCTTATTCCTTTCGCGCTAACGCTGCGATAAGGCGCACGCCCGATATTTCCGTCTCTTATCATAGCCACAGCCTTGTACCTGCTCCACAAGTGGTAAAAGTGGTGGCTTTCGCACACTACTGCGCTTCTCACGCGCTCAAAAGGTTTATAAAAATTACTGATCTAGTGATTTTAAATGACCCTCAGCAAGTTTCTGATTGGAACCATTTTCTTTATTTTAGCTCATGAAAAAGTTAATTAACGAATTTTAGTAAATTACTCGCCAGACGGTTCAAGCCCCGCCGAGCTCGAGAAATATATGGTGAAAATGACATTAACGTAGTGGTAAATACGCCTTTTTTTAAATCTGTTTCTAATAAAATATATCACCCGGTATATAACCAAAAAGTAACCCACAAACGTAGAGTAGCAACTTATATGAGTTGTCTTTCACATCACCAATACGATACATTTAGAAAACGAAATCACTTTTAAGTTATTCGGATATGCCCAGAGCCAACCAGAATACGATGTAATGTTTTTTTTTTTAAATTTTATTCGCACGCACGTTTTACGACACTATATAATCCCCGAGAACTTAAGAAACCCGTTGCGTGGTTTCTTATACTCTTGCTTCGTGCTTTGTTCTTCGGTGTTTTTATTGTCTAATTCCGCCATCTCATTGGTTATGAAACGATAACGATGTAATCGGGCCTCAACACGCTCTGTGTTGCCTAAATCCTTCAAACACGCGAGAAAAAAAAAGTGAAACGGCCATTGGACGATCGGGCCAAATGTTTAACTCGCTGTACATTTATGCCAATGCGTATAATTCAGACCCCAGCAATAATCGTGTCTTTTTTCAGTGACTAAAGTCTCTCAACTAAAAACGTAAATTTGCTGGCCGAAAAAAACAAACAAAGAAACCCCGACTTTTCTTTTTCTCGCGAGAAAGATGTTTTAGCGCTTCATTTCTGGGTCACACGACCGAAAGACGGCCGGAGGAGTTCAAATGTAGGGCTAACTTATTCCCTCGCATTCAACCTTACAGTTGTCACTTGACGATAGACCTTTTTTTAAAAGTGCAAGTGATCTAGTACCTGGTACGCAAGTTATTAGAGACCGCGACTGTTCGGACACGTAGTCTGAGTATCTATTGGATACGAGAGCTGCACTAGCCTTTGTCAACGACTGGGTTCGGCCCGTACTGAAACCAAATGCTGCGTCAGACTTCGAATGAGACTCTGACCCAATCACACGATTCGTGCCCAAGGATAGATAGATGGGTGGAAGCTAACGGCTGTACCCTTTATAACGGTTGGCAGCTTGCGCCACCTAGCCTTGAAATTAAGATCCAGAAGTATGCCTTCATTCCTTCGCCAATTTGCTAACCCTCTGCAATTTCGTAGCCACATTGGTAGATCACAAAACTTACCTTGAAGTCGAAAGCTTCTGCCTGACTGTACCAAGAGGGCGCAGATCCGTCTGCTGTTTTCCTATGCAATCAACAAAAAATAATAGGCGGGCTCGGTGATTCAAGTCGGCGCCTTATAGCGCAGAAACAGTTTGACATACAGACACAAAAAGACGCGCCATCTCATCGCACCGTGTACATTGACGGTGTGATTTTCTCTGGTCGAGGTGCATTCCTACTTTTTATTGCGCTAAAAGATCCTCGGAGTTTTCTTGGATCCAGTCGATGTAATGGCTGACTTTCGTGTAGACGCCTGCGTTGGCTATTCGTGCGCAGCCTCTTCCAAAAGAAACGAGGCCCACGAGCACGGTGATCCCCTTCTTGGTCTGAGTGGCCGGGCCTCCGGAGTCCCCCTGCGAAAGACCACTTCGTATTGCTGTAAACGGCGATAAAGGTAAACGTGCCTACAGTTGAAGTTAGAAAAACAAGTATAGGCTTGTAGCGCCTGTGAGCTAAACTAGAAAGACGCTCAATGTTAAGACTACTATAAAGCAACGGTAAGTACATATTTTCTACAGTCCTTGGATCATCTTGCAGCACCTGCCTTTCAAACAATAGGGGGATGAAGTCTTTGTGCCCATGATTTGTCAATGCATAATCTGTTAAACAAAGACCAAACCCTAAATATTTACAAAACTGTAGGTGTCTATAGTTGAAAGATAAATAAACATGATTTCTGCTTTATATTACAAAGCAAGATTTTCTACAGAAATATTTTCATCAGGATTTTTAACAATTTTTAAGATATAAAGTGTCGTTCCCAAATATACTTCAGTTTCGGTATGAAGCCTCCAACGAATGGAGTTGTTTTTGCTTAAGAGTGACAGAATTTTTATTTTTACAGTTTAATCCAGCTTCGTTTCAGATCTTGCTTCATTTCTTCAAACCAATCGCCTCGCCAGTATTCGCCTATTCACCATTAATTTTCTCAAGTTTCTTTTTTTTTTTAACAATAAACTTCGCGCAACTGCAGATAGCTGACATTGAAATGAATTAAGACGCCTTTTTTGTATTGAGCCGGAACTGTAAAACAGATTTGGATATGCCTCACTCTCAAAGTTGGTAGTATGGTTGCAGAAGAATTGTCTACCAATGCGTAATCAAAGTATCACGCGTTCGAACGAAAACTCTGTTTTTAAACTTATATTCTTTGTGGCTGTGTAAATCATTTATTAATTTATATTTATAATATGTTCTGCAGGTAACATCTATTAACTTATTTTTTTTATTTATTTAGTTACACTTTACAGTTTTTCATAGTGGACATTACATAAGCGGGGTTGCTCGTTCAAACATTGCAATCATAACACAAAATACATATGAACACAATAAACAGCAGAATAAACATAAAATGAATTTGAGCCCCACACACGCACTCGCGCGCAGTAACTAAGCATAAAAAATAAGCCTGCGGTATTTCTGTTCAAAATTGTAAATGCAAAGTAAATGGAGCTGTTTGTTTATAAGATAATTGATATGTATATGTTTATTAAGTTAATCAATATACATTGCTATAACTTTCGTTCTGTATATTTAAAGTCCCTCGTACCTTCCTTCCGAAAAAGGTAAACCTAAAACCTCAACTCATACTTTATCTTCGTAAAGTGCACGGCGCTCTTAATCGTTCAGCTTTTGAATAGAGAACCACCTCACCTTGCAAGAGCCTCTTCCTCCCAAAAGCGCACCTGCGCAGAACATACTATTCCAGTTGTATATCGAGCTTAAAGTTATGAGCCGGCTGTATTGGTAAGTGCAGAACAAGTCACTTCCCAGGGGCACGGATACCGCCATTAATTCTTGCGAGGTTTTCCCTCCTGAAATGTTGAAATATGACACGAATTAGTTTATATTATCTTGTCTGTAAACAATTGCCATTGCAAAGCATGCATGTGTGTTTAAATATTTCATAGAAGTAAAAAGAAATCTATAATCTGCCATTAACTGCAATTATTGCCTTTTGAAGAACTTTGAAGTCCTGAAATTCGTACACTTTATATTTTGTTCTGACCTGCTGTAATTCTTATGTCATCTTAAATACGTTTAGCACGACAAAGGAAGAAAGCTACTGCGCAAGTTAGCCGATCAGATGATGTGACGGGGCACAAGTTAGCGCAGCACAGGAGAGGTGCACTCCAACTGTATGTTTTCACATGTTTCTGGCGCTCTGATAGGCTAGCCGAGGTTGTTGATTTCGCTATTCGGTAAGTTTGATGCAAGGAAATATATCGTAGTATGTATTCGATTATTGGAAAAGCAGACACGACTCGTCAGTTGGTGCCCAAAATGGCTACATTCCGCCAATCGTTTTATTAATATAGCGAGCAAGGCAGCATCCTTGATAATTTTTTGTCAAAATGAACTCGATAGTCTCTCCTGCAAATGAAAAGCCCATAATCCTAAAGAAACACTGACTGTACGTATTCACTTTTTTATTTTAAATGTAATTATTTGCTTTGAACAGAACGAACAAATTTGTGTAGACCATTATATAAGAGTCGGGAAAAATTCATTTGTTTTATCCTCCCGCACAGACCTCCACCCCTCCCCAAGTTTCCCTCCAATACTTGACAATCAGCGATAATCATGATTTTCCCAAGATGGCGATCCGTAGGTCTCCCGGTGCCAGCAAGATTTACGGACGCAAGAGATGCAGATATTAAGATGCATTGATCATCACTAAACTCGTAGAATACCCTAAATGAGTGCTGCACCGCGATGCCCCCCGGAACACCAATCATTGGTCCTCCGTTTATCAGGTGAACTACGGTTCTCGGGTAGCGTCTGCGACTGGCCTGTTTAGAGTCCTATCCAGCCCATACTTCAAAAGCGGTCCTCAAATGGCAAAATATGGCGTCACAGAAGCCGCGGCCCGTAATGCTGTCGGGTACCCCGATCCTGGCGGTTAATGCTGGAAGACACGGCCAAAACAAAACAAAACAAAAATGCTAGCGAATTCTACTGTTGCTATCGTCGCGCGGTCCCAACTTCTGACTGCCGAAGCTTCCCTGGACTGCCACAGTGGAGAGTGACCTGCAGCAGAACAGGCGTCTGACAGCCACACCACCGCTGCTGTGACACCACCAGGACCGCGTGCGGCGGTGATCTGAGACTTCAGTGACGTCATCAGGTGAAAATCTAAGGTCCGATTTTTAGGACGCGGGAAACACACCAGTGTGTTTCCCGCGATCAAGTCATGATCGGTATCCAGGGGCCCTAAATTCGTCAAACACAAAGTTGGAACCGAAAGTTCACGGAGCACACCGATTGGACGCTGGCGACAAAAGCGCTAAGTCATCGTCGGGACAGTCCAATCGGTGCGCTCCGTGAGAACTTCGGCCTCAACTTTGTGTTTGAAGAGTGTTTGGCGAGTTTAGGGCCCCTGGGGCCCTAAACTCGTCGAATACAAAGTTGAAGCCCAAAGCTAGCGGAGCGCGCCGATTGGACGCCGCCGAAAAAAGTGCCAAGTCATCGTCGGGATCGTCCAATCGGTGCGTTCCGTGAACTTCGGCCCAAACTTTGTGTTCGACGAGTTTAGCACCCCTGATCGAGAGACTCCGAGTAGCAATAGAGCTGCATAGTGGCAAAAGAGGGGACCCTCTTTTTTCCATGCTGAGTATAGTTACTTTCTCTGGTCCTGCCCCATCCGGATGTGACGATGCTTCCTTCTAGGACGTCTTTGGGATTGGGCAGGCAGATGGGCGCAACGTAACCTTCCGACTTGTTGAAATCAAACGGTTCCACAAGTTTCAGAAGCGCGATGTCGTTCATCAGTCCATTCTTGCCAAAGTCTTTGTGGCGCCGAATGGTCGCCACCTAAGCAGAAAAAAAGAGATAGCTTTGTTTTATATATTATTGTCTGAACGTACTTAATTTTACCGAAGGAAATAACAAAAAGGACGCTGGATACGATATTGGTTTTCTGTGCTAATCATCCGAAGGAATAGAGATACAAATTGCGTTTCATATAAAGGTAACAGCATCAATGGAGTCATATTGGAGTTATGGGAGTGACATGATATTAAAACAATAACTAACATAGATAGAAGTACAAATGTTGCAGCTTCACATAAACAAACTCATCAGATTTGCTCTGTTTTGTTACGGGCGGTACAGCAATTAACTGTTTCAACAGGGCGTCAACAAAGACCAAAAGTTAGTGTGTTTAGGGGTTTCACCAAAGTAAATCGCCGGTTTCACTCCAATGGCCTTTGAGAAACTACTATAGATGAAAATAATTTCAGCCATGTGTAGTTTTCCGATAAGATGGCGCATCGCCCATTTTGGATATATACGTTCCTTGGTTTTTGAAACCTAATTTTAGAAACCTACAGCTTGCGAAGAATGGTCCAACTCAATTGCCTCCCCGTACTAACAACATTACACCGTTTTATCTTTTTCAATGGCTGTATGTTATACAACAAATTGGCACACAGTGAAGCTGTTATAATTTACCATATGTTGTTAAAACTGCAAAGAAGTTGAAAAACAAAAGCAAGGATGAGTATATATCTAACCGAAGAACGCGCTGAAATTAAACGAAGCGAAATAATTCAACCAGCCCGTTATACGTCCATGGCCCGATCTTGGTTGATTAGCATGTACGGCTTCTTAATTCCTGAGGACGTTTTTCTTTTTTTTTTTTTTTGTATTTTGGCATTGCCATCCCCTCGCTTGGTCACTTACGCTTCGCCGTTGGTAATAAGGCGTTCGCTTGCCCAAGTTGGTTATGCCAGCCACGACGGAAAACCCGTTCCATTTCCTGCACGAATAAAGAAGCGTAAACTTAATGTCTATGGTATGTAATTGCCAGACATACTCACTTACTTAAAAAAATTTACCTAAATTTGCTCACTTGTTACTTTCTCACAGAGTCATTAAGGGGATAACTCATTCTTCATTTTGCAAAGAATGCATTAACGTGCCAAAAGAAACGCCTTTCTTTATTTTAAATTAAAATAGCTGGTTGCCAATATTAGGATAAAACATACAGACGTGGTGCGAGAAGCAAAGCGAATTGCTGAAACGTCAAGCTGATAAACCTATTTGATGTTGCCTGTTTTCAGATTTCTCAGGAGAAACTATGAGGAACAATCCCTTGTAATTGAATTGCTCAACATTAAAATTTGTATTTTTAGTTTTGCATGCTTGTCATAGGTGTATTCGAAAAGTTGATGCTGTAAACGTTAAAAAAATAGCCTAGTTTATCTTTAATCGCTACCAGGAGAACGGCAACTAAACTACGTTATTCGTTCCTGTTTGCGAAAAAATAATGCCAGGAAGTGTTTGCCTCATTATCTAAATAGTAGCGGGCAACATGTGACCAGTTGTGACCGTAACACGTTACAGTTACGCAAAAGTATTATCTTATAATTAGCTTTTTTTTAAAGTATATGTCATATCATGACATTCCTTTTAAGCTTACAAAGTAATACCCAAGTCAGACGGGCACGTTAAAGGCCTTCAGAACGAAGTCCTCTGAAAAGTCGCCGAACCAGCGTTCGCTGGTAAGAGCGAGATCGCGGGCTGATTCGAATGCCCATTCTTTAAATGAGTTCATTCTGAAGGTCCTTAAATGTGCCCGTCTGACAGGGGTATTACTAATTTTTGTTAGATTTTTAATTATAGTTTAAAGAAATAGTTTCAAATTTTAAGCATTCGTTTATATTCCCTATCTGAAACCATCGTTCTTAATTATTTACATTTAGCAAAAGCACAGTATATTTGCTGCCGTATTCGTGATATTTTTTTCTAAATCCCGTCCGCAGTTTTTTATGATAAAAATACAGGACACCCATTTATTGTATTTTCGATATCGTTCATTGCATTACTGAATTAATATCAGTCTAACCATACTCGATTCATTAGAAGCACGCGTGATTCACAACACACCAAAAGCTGAGTCTCTCACATTTTGTAAGTTAACAATTCTTCTTATGTAATTCTACAAAGAGACGTCACACAAACATCACTACCACAAACAGGTAAACTTGATTACTGGAGAATCGTATCAGGCCAACGGAAAGCACATCTAGTTCCCTCTTATTAAACCCCGTGGTCATAGAAAGGCGGAATAACTGTTGGATTAAACAATGGCGGATTTAAATTATTCCGAAAGCATCTTTCTACAAAAAACGGCGTTTTTGTTCCCATCAACACAAGAAGGTAAGACATCGTAAAGCTGCAAGCATTGCAGCTTTTTGCCTTGCTTTTCTCTTTTTGATGAAATTCAAAAAGATGATGAAGATAAGAATAAATTTGTTGTTACCTTCGAACGCAGTGCGCGGCTGTTATGACTATAGATGGTGAAATGATTGAGCCACCACAAAAGTGATAGCCATTTCGCTGGAGGGAAACCTGCAAAAAATACGTTGTTTTGTGACAGAAAGAGAATATTCGGTGTAATAACTGCAAAGAATAATTGGTTACGTTCCTTTTGTTTTTAATTTTGTCGTAGTTAACGATTTAGGCATTATACAACAGCGTCGAGATTTGAACAAAAAGGCAGAGGAGCCTTAAAGCCATCTCTGTTTAGAATTTTACAGTACTGTTCACTTTTTCGACAGAACTTCCGGTAATCAGGGTCCTGCACCTGCAAGACTGCATTACAATAAATAGCCTTGCTTTGAAAATCTCGGCGAAGTCATTTTTGGGAAATGTTAGTCAAAGATTCGTACTGCACTCAATAAGGTCTTCATGTAAACCGTCAGTTTTTGCCAACGCGCATCAAGCCACTCTAAAATCGCTGGATCAAATACATCACTAATTAGTGTTAGTTTATATGGTGGATAGAGATATGCTTACTTGCCAAGGGAGCTCGCCAACCTTTGCTTGGTATCCTCCCACTATTCTTTCATTCGACCGTGGACTTTGCCCGCATGTCTCTGTAAGATATAGCGCGCTGTTATTGTTATACTTAAAAAAATAAAACTTCATTCCAAGTGCTTCCAATGCATGAAAGCACTAAACAGGACAAAACAGCTATCAAGAGACAGTACAGCAGTTATTTTTTCAGTAACGTAAGGTTCTTTATATGAGAAATTCAGCAATGTTTGAAAACAGAAACCACACCAATCCTCAGAAAACAGAAATTTTCTAGCAAGCGAGCTAAACACTCGTGTAAATTTCGAAAGCAATAGGATTCTACAGGGTGATTCAAGGAGACGCCAGGCTCCTTAAGTTGACCGCAAAAATTCGTTTTCTGAACCTATCGCGCTACGACTTTGTGCAGCGTTGCCCACAGATGGTGCATTTTTTTTTTTTTTTTGTAAAATTTGCAAAGAGCGAACTTACGTGAGGAAAAAGTAAAGAAAGAAAAAGGCTTAGCTCCTATGGAAACGCAGCGACGCCGCGGGTCTTCAAACAACACGGCGCCGTTTCGCACGGGAGACAAGATATGGCGCAGCGAACGCCGCCAACGAACGAGCATACGACGCCGAGAGCCGGCGTCTTTAGGATACAATCTTTCCGACTCAGAAGCGGCGCGCGTTCCGCAGGCGGCGACAGTCGCAGAAACCAAAACAGGCGCGGTAACAACAAGGAACTGCAGTTCCTTGTCTGCTAAAGACGCCTGCTCTCGGCGTCGTATGCTCGTTCGATAGCGGCAGTTGGCGTCGCAACCGCTTGCGCCATCTCTTGTCTCCCTTTTGAAACGAGGCCGTGTTGTTTGAAGACCGGTGGCGTCGCTGCGTTTCCATAGGAGCTAAGCCTTTTTGTTTCTTTACTTTTTCCCAAGATAAGTTTGCTCTTTGCAAATTTCACACAAAAAAATGCACCCTCTGTGGGTAACGCTGCACAAAGTCGTAGCGCGATAGGTTAAGAAACCGAATTTTGCGGACGATTTAAAGAGCCTGCCGTCTCCTTGAATCACCCGGTATATTGGGAAGGAACAGCGAAAAAATTTGGACATGGGTAAAGAGAACACACACGACAGGGCAGCGCCGTCCTGTCATGTGTGTCGTGTGTGCTTTCTTTAACCTTTTCCGCGTTTTTTTACCGCTGTCCTTCCGAAGATGGTCACTTCAAACCAACTAGCCAAATACGTCACATTATTGCAAAAGGAAACTAATTTTGTCATTTCTTGATTCGCGCGGACCTTGTGGATTTCGAATTTTTCGTCGCAAAAGAAAACTAGATGTACTACAGCGCCAATTATCCAAAAACCAAATACAAATACGAAGAGCTGGTAAATTCATGCACGCAGTACGGTATTCACACGCGTTTGAGCTCACACCATTATAATATGTAACGGCATACTTGAACTACACTGATCGACATCAATAGTGATGATCATGGAAATGAATTCCGGGCCGATAACCATATTCTATGTCTCTCACGAACGCTTGCTTATAATAAAAAGAAATATATACATTTTGTATTGAAATTAAATTATTGTATTGATTTTATAAACTTGAGGAACATTGACTTGTCTGATGTTCGCTCCCTAATCATTAGATAATAACGATTAACCCTATTTCCCCCCGTATACTCAGCTTGAACAATTATGTCGCCCAATCATGCATAAAATGACAGCGCAAATACACCTGCTACTTTTATAATTCTACATTGTTTACAGCAAACAACACAAATTACGTCATTAAGATTATTGCGCTTTGACATGATCCCTTCGCTTTGACATGCTCCCAAGCATGTCAAGTCGAAGGTGTGCACGCTTTGTGCGCAACTTTGCGAAACAAATTACTATCACTGTCACTCAGGCGTTCTGGCCAGTAACTGAAGCTCGGTCATAGGCCCGTATGGCTTCAACAATGCTTGTGAAGTTATATCCTTACCGTGTCGTAACGTTGCGCGTCACATTTGCCTATTATGCCAATTGCTTACTGCGTTCATTGCCCCAAATGAGTGGCACGAACCTTTATAGCTGTTATGTACAATAACATCATCCTGCTATATGTCCTTGCCGAAAAAAAACAACAATTCCTTATATACCTTGGCGTCATTGGGTTCTCATTAAAGGGCTTTTAAACAAGGAAATAAACAATCTAAATTATGATTGAAACTCTTGTCTTAGCTTAATGCAGGACCAAACACCGGATGCTCTCTTATGCGGTGTTTTAAAGGTGGATTAGAAATTCTGCTCGTATTTGGCAGGAAGTTTTGGCAGAAGTAAATTTTTTTTAAAAATATCAATGTATGAAAACAACACGAGTGATAATTGGAAGATACCGACAAGATCATTAATACTATGATTACATTAGCGACCATCTGATGTTATTCACGTGCTTAAGGTGTAAAGAACATTTATTCTGAGCTCGCCTTTTAAGAAATGGTGGTAAATCTTTTTAATCTACATGCAAAACGGTGTTTACCCTTCGAAGTAGAATTATATACAAATTGATAACAAAAACATACCAAATATAAGAACGAAAAAAAACAAGATATGGTGAACAAATATGTTGTACCTAAACGATTTTTGAAGATGTATCATGATAAAATTAGGGACAAGCGGAATATGTCAGGAAAGTTTTAACATTTGACAGGCACCATGTGAAGTAAAACAGCTCAAGATTTAATGACCCATTATATTCTGAAATGTCGGGTTCACCTGGTTGGAGAAATACATTGATTGAAAGAGTTAACTGTTGAAGCAACATGGCATATGTATTACGGTTACGTGACTTTTATGCGCCCATCAAAATATATGTTAGGACCAAATCCGACAACATAATTTTACTCTTATCATCACTACACGACTTTTCTATCTCAGTCACAACATTCCGTATACGTTTCTTTTGCTTCCGTAATTTTAAGCCACAAACATGACTTACCTTGAGCACTGCTTGGAAATATCACAGCTACCAACACAAAGGCTAGCCGTCCTCGCTCCATGGCACTAGATCGTTTCTGCGATGAGGCGTGCATTGCGGTAACAACAAGCTTCCGAGTCGTATGATCTTGCTGCCATCCTTTTCGCCGTCGATGAATTAATGCGTCCCCTACAAGTGGAGCGTGAAGCTGCACTGTCGCTCGCTCAGAAAGAACCGCAGTGCATCGGATATTAATTCATCAGACTTATCCAGGTTTCTTTTCTCCCCTTTGATGTCCTTTTGGTTTATAATCGCGAGGTCTGTACAAACGAGAAGTACCCCTTAATCTGAATTGTTCCCATATCTAGCAGGTCCGGTGCCCTAATTAAGTTTTCGAAGACAACTAAATAGAGAAAAACATATTCACGAAAACCGTATGGAATGCACAAATTATTAATTAATACCCATCTGGAGTCTATATCCCACGTTTTCGTAATGGTATCTCAAATCACTCGGAATGTGCGTCTTAAAATCATGTTTTTAAGTTTTTTTTTTTTTTTTTTCACGTGCCTAAAGGCCATTAAGGTTTGTTTAGGTTACAGTTATGTGAAAATGACTGTAAGCTTAAAAGGAACGCAAGTTTATCGACACTCTGTAATATATGTCCCCGCGTAGTTAGGGGCAACCTTGTCGAGTAACGTAGGATTACTATAGAGAACCCGAACAAAAAAAAAAATATTGTCATCAGAGTTATCAATGCACCGGGATAAAAGTCAATATCTGACAATAATACGGTTTAATGCGCTTGAAAACGTGCATTAAATTCATACGATACAAGTAAGGAGACGAAACATAAATAATTATATTTCGATGACAGTAATGCAAAGGCATTCAACTATGGCAACTAATTTCACAAGAATCTCTCTTCGTAACAAGAAAAAAAAAAAGTATGTGGAACGTGCATTCTTCCGCCGGATGGCACATAACGTTCCTCTCTCTCAGCTGTCGCTATGTCGGTACGCGGCTGATTTGGGACACCGGGAATTCCCTTTCGAGCGCCTTTGCACCGACGGACGCCTTTCTGGGTTTCCTGTTTCCGTTGCATCGCTGATTCTGCAAAGCACGGGACCTACATGGCCAGTTGGGCAGAAACACGTTGCCTACGCTTTCACTGTTTCTCCCTCACGTTGCGTGGCATAATCCTTCTAGACTTATAGTACGTGAGTTTGTCTTGATCGCGAATTCCGTACGCTATTATTTGGAGCACGCTAGTAGAGTTCTCTCACCAATAATTTGCGAAACAACGACGTGTATGTTTATCAATCGTTTTTCGTGTGTTATTAATAAATTGCAAAATAGTACGGGCAGTTCTCAACACTTTTGGTTTCAAAACCATTCGTTCTGAGATTATTTATCTCTCATTAAAAAGTTAATTCCGATTACTGATTCCTAAATGAAACGCTATACGCATGTTCTTGATATTTTTGCTGTAGAAAGCGCACTTAGCCACAGCTAACATATTTTTTTCCGTACCGTAATCGATAACGAAACCTTGGCTGTGAATAGTGTCAATTCCTTTATTTTCACAGGGAGCTATTGCCTCTGCCTCTCAATCCAGTCGATGTACTTGGAAACTTGGGTGTAGACGCCCGGCCTGTCTTGGCGGCCGCAGCCTTCTCCCCAAGAGACGATTCCCGAAAGGACTATACGACCGTGTAGACGCTGCATGGCGGGTCCGCCTGAGTCACCCTGTGGAAAAAGTAGAAATTAAGAGGCGTTATTTTTTTATCACCACGTCAATTTTTCTGACAGGACAGAAATGGGCGCTTGCACGCAAGGGTGAGAAATGGTTTAAAAACTGATATTTAGAAATAAATTTTAATGTATAGGTTTGCTTCTGTCTACTAAAGTCTGTGTAAAGACTGTCTACTAAAAGCCGTTTTACATGGTGCTTTGTTTTAGACGAACCGTGTTTGCGGAGATGCGTAGGTGGTACCATCATCTTACCCCCTTTCTGAACACCGATAATTATACTGGTTGTGGGGCATCTCAACCCGGCCTCTGCTTAACTACTGACGAGGAAGAGTCAATTTGTAATGATTTACTGGTTAATGATGCCTGTAATTATCAGTTTGCGTTTGGTTTCTGATTGTCTTTTAGGGCGATGCAGCCGTTACAGATTTTCTTCAAAGATGATAGGACGTTTCATGCTAGCCCCCATGAAGCTAGCCAGATGCGCACCGTATTCCATTCCTTCAGCTGAAACTGGAAAATCGTGCTAATCGAACTTTTTGATGTGCTGATTCTGGCCTGCTTTAATGACGGAAGAAAAAATTAATCAAGGTATGTACAATGCTTGTGCGAGCCTCACTGGCATCAAGAGCACGACTCCTGTGGTTCGGTTTTTCTTCATATCATACGCGAAGCTTTTCCACGTCCTTCAGCTGTAGGCTTCTCAGGACAGTAATAACTCGTACTCCTCAGCATTTAAAATCAAATTTCCTTGTCTGTCTACTTACGATTCGCGCACGGAGTATTGCTATATGTATTTCGGACAACTTCATTTTTGTTTTTAAACTTAAAGACGAAACAAACTGTGGGGTTCATTGACGCAGTACCACTGAGTAAAATGTCTAAAGAAGCATTCGATAAAAGAAAAATTGTCATTCTTAGTTAGAGATATATACTAGCGCAAAAAAGGCAAGGACAAGAAGTAAACAGGAAAAGCGTTAAGTTTCAGCTAGCTTTACTTAGGAAAAACAAAGCACGTGTACACACCACTCGCGAAGCAGCAACACGTAAAAACTATCAAGTCAGTATCCGTTCATGCAAGAACTTCAATTCAATCCCATGGAGCACAATTGTTGTGTCACTGACACATGCCGTCCTACATATCTTTTTTTAATATAAAAAATGCCTCCAAAACATTACGAGCGACAGTCTCATGGCTTCTCTCCAGAATTCTTATTGGCTGAAGTGGCGGAAAACCGCCAGATAAGTTTCAATGTAGAGGCAAATGCGAGCTATATTTATTTTTTTACTGATATTGAGTGCTCCATGGGAGCTAAAAATAAATATGGCTCGCATTTGCCTCTGCATTGCAACACGTGGGGCTGTGTTCCGCGATTTCAGCAGATAAGGATTCTGGAGAGAAGCTGAAAGACTTGCTAGATAACTTATGTAGACCTCTTTTATAAAAGAAAAAAAAGGGACCGCATGAGTCATCGACACGTCAATCGTGCTCCATAAGGTTGAATCTCAGTTTTTGCGTGATCGGATACTGACTTGATAGCTTTTATGTGTTACTGCTTCGCGTGTGGCGTGTATATATCCATTTGCTTTTCCTGGGTAAAACTAGTTGAAAGTAAGCGCTTGTTCTGTTTACATCTTGTCCCTGTCTTTTGTTTAGCTCAACAACGTACCCTACATTTACTTTCTAAAAAAAATATTATTTCTTTTTTGTTGAGAATCAACTACTCTTTATTTTCTTACCTTGCAAGAGTCTCTTCCCTGGCTGAGATCTGCCGCACAAAACATGGTGCCTTCATGAAAACGCTGCCCATAATATTTATGGCACGTCTCATTTGGAAGAATTGGCAACGTAGCTATTTGTAGCACTGTGGATTGCGCTTTACCACCTGAAATAGATTAAAAAAAACTTACCTAAAGAATGTCGGCTTTCGATAAAGATGAAAGATGTTTACAAATGTCTGTAATGCAAAATTAGAGCGCAGCTCTTGAGAGAAGGAGGGGAGGGGACAAAGGAGAGAGTAAGGCCCTTCTCCTCGTCCTACTCCTACTCCATCGCCATCCACTCCTCTCCATTCCTCCTCCAATTCAGTTTCCCCGCTAAATTTAGCGGGGAAAATGACGTCAAACGACTTGGTGTTATGTCCCCTATGAACAAATTCAGTTTCTTCGCTAGATTTAGCGGGTGAATTTACGACACGTGACCTCACCACCAATTGAATTCCCCGCTAAATTTAGCGGGGAACTGAGTTGGTTTTGTGGTCACGTGACGTCCATTTTCTCGCTAAATCTAGCAGAAAACTTAATTCGCCCGCTAAATCTAGTCGAGAAAGTGAATTTCCCCACTAAATTTAGCAGGGAATTGAATTGGTGATGAGGTCACGTAGCGGGGAATGGAATTAGTGCAGAGGTCCTTTGACGTTATTTTCCCGATAATTTAGCGCGGTTACGCCGATGCCGACGCCGACGCCGCGGAACACGGAAACGGGCGCCTAAGAGCTGTGCTCTAAGAAATAAAAGATGTTTACAACTCTCTGTAACGCAAAACTAAAGCGCAGCTCTTGTGGAGGAGGAGGGGAGGGTATGAAGGGGAGGGTGTGAGTCCCCTTCCGATCGTACCCTCCCTCCTCCCCTCCTTTACGCTCCTATTTAGCGGGATATTTACTGAAAAGTTTCCCGCTAAATTTACCGAGGAAATCGACGTCACGTGACCTCAACACCAATTCAGTTTGCCCGCTAAATTTAGTGGGGAATGATTGACGTCTCATAATGTGACGCGCGCGGTTACGCGGACGCCGATGGCGACGCCGCTCTAGCCCGTAACGAGCATCTAAGAGCTGCTCTCTAAAAGAAAAAACCTTTTGGCAAAAAGCGGAAACGCGTTCTGACAAATTAAGGTATATACATATGTGTGCGTGTGTGTGTGTGTGCGTGTGCGTGCGTGCGTGCGTACGTGTGTGTGTGTGTGGGTGTAAGAGTGAGAATTATGAACCGATAAAGAAGGAATATAATTTTACAAGAAGGCCAAATTGTTTTCAAGGCAAAAGAAGATCTCCAAAATTCCTGGACCATGCATAGTTTTCGATTTGATCAAGCTAAATTGTGACTGTGCTTCCGTTTATTAGAATTCAGTGAAGTGCATCTATCTTTGCGTAAATAATCATTCAGAAGTGGCGACCTTTAGTTTAAAAAACATATTTTGCCATGTGAACTGCCAAATATTGCTTCCTGCTGTCATTATTTGAAACGCCAACTTTATCTGTACATAACATGACTCTGTTAACAAGGACACACTAATACTGGTTTGTCCTATTTATCTATCAAAGCTCAGGGCTAGAAATCAAATCCACGGATGTAGTGAGAAATTCTTTTGTAGGGCAGCAATGCAGGCTGAAAACGTTGAGGTTCAATGCTTTTATTATCATTAAACTGTGTAGCGTCACCGATTTCGTGTTCGCGCTAAATGTGCTCAACTCTACGCATAATGAATGCTAGAAAAACCAGTGTAAAAATATTATTTCGGGACTTACATAACCAACCTTGAAAAAAAAACAAGAATTAAATATTTTAGAATTACGAGAAGGCAATCTTAATATTATGTCCTATCGCGACTAAAACGATTTGACTTAGTCTTTAATTAATTTACCTTCTTTTTGCCACCCAAATCCGCTCACTGCAACCGCCCCAATTGGAGTGGCTCCTTTTGGCGGCAGACAAATGGTTCCAATGTAACCGTTAGATCCCCGAATGTCAAATGGTTGTCGAAGCTTTAGAATTCCGATGTCATACTTCTGATGTCCATATCTTCCGAAAAAGTCTTCATGTCTTATTCCCCGAAGAACCTAAAACAAATATGGTTGTACAGCAACGCTCGCAGTTATCCATGTCTTCTATGGTCGCTGACAGGTTAAGAATTCAGTGGAAGCTCCTTCCACCTCTTTCCACTTTAGCAGAGCGAACACTGGAGAGAAGCTGACCTCCTCGCCAGCGTTCGCTCTAGTAAAGTGTAAATAGGTGGAAGGAGCTCCACCTGAATTCTTAACCTTTTAGTAACTAAAGAATTTCTCGCATATTGGCTGATATTTCTTACCACTGCAGAGACTTGAAGCATGTCACCTTGTTCAATTTTTTCGATTTTTGCTTTGATGAGCTTAAATAATGTGTCACTCATTAAATAATGCGTACATAAAATCAAGGGAAAGTTTTGGAAGCTGAAAAGCTTATAGATTAAAAGGAAATATTGAGTTTCAAGACTGAAAGTAGTAGTAAATTCAAAGTTCGAGCTATTTACTCACCAATTTAACATTACACACCCGCTATTTAATTCTGAAGACGATAAACTAATTTCAACGTTAAATAGAAGCAGTCATTTTAGCGTATCACCCCAGTCACATTACAATATTACAGGAGCTGGTCTGGCAGGGTGGTTATGATTTGAGCCCGTTCTCGTTTCGCCCTTCCCACTGGGCCCTTCTCAAAACAACCATTCTCAAAAAGATCTTCTCTCTTGGAACTGTCGCATTTGGCCCTTTCCTGTTTCGTCCTTCGCATTTCAACCCTCCTCATTTGGGTCCGTTCTCGTTTCGCCCTTCTTACTTGGTCATTGTCAAAACAACCATTCTCAGAAAGATCTTCTCGTTTTGGCCCGTCACATTTGGCCCTTTCCCGTTTCGTCTTTCTCATTCCAACTCTCCTCATTTGCGCCCGTTCTCGATTCGCCCTTCAACCCTGGACCTTTTCAAAAAAGCCATTCTCAAAAATATCTCGCTTTGACCCGTCGCACTTAACTCTTTTCATACCAAAATCGTTTTAGGGTAATGTTAATAAATGCATTCATATATTTTGTGCGTGTGTGTTGGTGTGCCACGCTACAGGCATACTTTCTCTGCTAAGGATTTTAGCAGTGCCTCGAGGTCGTCGTGAAAAGCTAATAGCTGACAATAAAACAGACCAACTATTTACCGCAGCCAGATCATATTCCGAAATGTCAGGTTGGTTGAGGTCTCTCGACTTGGGACAATACCACCACTTTTATAATGCAGTGGTTCTCAAATGGGGTCTGCGAAGGCATCCTAGGGGTCCGCGAAGCCCTGTCTTAACAGTCAGGCACGGCAATATTAGTTGTCTTTCTTCACGTTGAGAAGAAACTTTCCAATTTTCGGGTGAGTACTCTCGTGTGTATGTCAATGAGATAAGTCTACTTCACACTAGCAATTATTTATATTAATTTAGTAAATCATTATCATGATAACCTATGATAACCCTTCACCTCACCACGAACGGGGTCCTCCATCATCTCCGCCTTTCTACAAGGGGTCCGCGAAACATCAATTGTTGAGAACCACTGTATTAGGTATGCTATTTCTGTTCAAACAAAGTTTAAAAATGAAATATTCATCGCTTTTTTTTCTCATTTCCTTGGAGGAAGGGAAGGAGGCGGGCGTCATTGTACGATTCTCAGTGCGTACCTCTACACATAACATATATCTGATGGTATGTTGGGGGCCCAAGCAACGTAAGGCTCATCAATGGGCGAAATGAGAATGGGTCCAGTTGCGAAATATACAATTTGGATCTTATGACAAGGTTCAAACAAGGCGGACCAAATGAGAATGGGACGAAATGCGCACGGTCAAAATGCGAATGGGACGTTTTCAGATAACGCGCAAAATGAGAATAGGCCCAGTTGCGAAAATCACGATTCGTATCTTATGATAAGGTTCAAACGAGAAGGACCAAATGAAAATGGGACAAAATGCGCAAGGTTCAAATGCGAATGGGACGTTTTGAGATACACCCGGTCTGGCACACCATAAAAGTGATACAGTAATGTTAATAAGTTTGGATAATGCTTATTCATGAAATTTACTATAGGTTCTGCAAAATACACTTCTGCACAATGTCCTGTAATGGAACATTATGTAAATGGAGAAAGGTTGCTAATTGCAAGTTTTAATAATATCGGAACTTCGTAAACCAGCATTTTATTATTGTGCTAAGCGCTTAGGATTATAAACTCACCTTTCGTTTCTGAACAAACAATCTCTCAGGTCCGCTGTGATTTCGATATCTAGTTCCAGCGATAACTTGAAGATCTTTGAAGGTGAAGCTGAAATACAATGAATTATTGGTATTTATAAGCAATCAAAGGTTTCCTACATGCCACCAGTTTATTTCTAACATTTTTACGGATTGAAGCTGTTCACGTACACACATATTTTTATTCATCAAGAGTTGAGTAGTTATATCTACTATATCTGTCATTCTGTAACAATTCTGTTGTATATTGAGCAATTAGGATAGACAAATTATTTATGCATAGCAAAAATAACATTATCGGCTGAGATATAAAAGGAAATGTAGCAGATTCATTTAATATTCGCGTGATTATGTACTGAGATTCTGATGATAACTATAGGGGTTTAATGGCACAGTAGACACTAAAGCCACATCTTTAAAACAAATTTAGGTATGCTGGCCCAGGTACACTCACTGTAGGATCAGATGCAGATTAGGAAGTTTATATTCCATATTACACTGCTTTAAAAAAAATTCCCAAGCACAATTTTTTGATGATTATTACATCCACGGTACAGAACCTTTCACATTGTACAGGAGAAACAATATGAGCTATAGAAATTCTATGTTTTATCCATACTTCTCTAATCAACAGAATGTATCAAGCCTGTGGAAACTCAAAATACAAATAAAACGATGGAGAAGACGCTGTTCAGCGTGGTTGAATCTAATTGGCAAAGCTACCTAACCCCAATGGCATCTTTTTCGGTCTGGGGTACGCAACACCTTATAATAATCAGCATAAATTATTGACCCATGATCGACAAGCTCAAAGTTCATTGTCTTATTCACGATTTTCTAAAAACACAATGCGAGAGTCAAAAAATCACGTTGAAAATCGTGCAAAAAATATGCAGTTTCTCCCGTAAAAAAATTCACAGTAATATTTTCACCTTAAAATAAACTGTGCATCGCCGAACACCCTTACTCTGCCCAAATGTCGTGCTAGCGGTTTGAACAAGGTACCGAAGTTTTAGAAATCCCCTTAATTAATGATTAAAAGTGATTTTTTTAAGTTTTAGGGGGAACACGGGATGCGTTTTTGTCTTTTTCTGTAATTGGGGCCATTCAGCTCTGCCACAATTTTCCCATTGAAAATATCAGAAAATCTCTTAGAACTTCAAGATGACAGCGGTTAGTTCCGTAACCTTGGCATCTCATTCGAACCGCTAGCGCTACATTTGTGCGGAGAAGGAGCGGTAAAGCGCACTTTATTGTTGTAATAAAACAAAATAGTCTCCGTTTTCAGAAACGCGCAGGACGTTGCAGACATATACCAAGAAGATGAACCGAAGTACAACCTTCACCCAAAAATATAATTTATAGAGACTTATTATAGCAGCTGATATTCAAATTTTTTTTACTGTGGATGAAGACGGAGAACATACATGGACCTGTATCATTTATTGTGAAGGTCATGCTTTACTTAACTACAACTGACATTTTTTTCTTATACCGCGTATGAAGACAGTGGAGGGGTTTTTAATCAAATTACAATCCGGAGACTCGCGTTTCATTGAACTGTCTTCGGTATAATAATCTTACGCACTTGACGATGCAATGAGCAGCCGTGACAACTTCGTTTGGAGAGATCAGGCTGCCGCCACAAAACTGTTGTCCATGCCATTCAAGCAGCACCTGTTCAGGTCAAACGTATAATGGCAGAAGAACGAAGTCTAACGTCTGCAGTGCTTTATTCAACTAAAAATGTGCTGGATAGTGACATGACGCTCTCAGTAGTACTGTCCCAATACAAAAATGACGGCAGATAATTTATCGACATAGTTGATATGAAAGGAGTGAAACTGTCTGAAACGCGCTCTTAATTAAAAAAATAAGGATCTATTAAAAAAAAACGTTTCGCGTTCTTTTGTTTCTTAAAATTTGGTCACTCAGGTTCTTTCTAATAGCTTTTATGCATTAATTATTACAATCCACCACTATCGCTACTGAAAAGATACTATCGTGCGCTCTGTCGGTAAAAAAAAAAGTTTTATTTGGTCGCGGTTCGTTGTGGCCAGCGAAGTGCATTGTAATAATCGTATTTGTTTTGAAGGTTAGCCATCTGAAGTTTTGTCTTGTAATTGTAATTGTGCATTAGTTAAGTACAACGGTTTCTCTCTCCAAATAAACGCGAAAGCATTGTCGCATGTACAGATTGGTATGGTTAAGCTCCTGATGCCTCCTTTTTGCATAACGTTAAGTAGCTAACTATTTTATCCTTCATCGAAGAATACAGATTCCAGCGTTTTTTTTTTTAAGGCTTTTTGTTCATGCCATCAAGACTCTTTGCCAATCTGCATAACTTCAACCAGTCGCTACGTGAATAACGCACAACGATAATGAGTTCTCGCTATAAGGACGTGTTGTCATCTAGGCGCCGTTTCCATTCTTTGATAACTGGTTGTTTGATCTTTTTAATTTGTTTTTCAAACTTTAAAGGTCGTCAGCGTTCTTTTTGTTTTACACTTCGTAAACAGACCTATATATTTAATTCTCTGGACTTAATTTTTATATCAAGCTGATTATGTTTTCTTAATAAAATACTGTGCCTCTCATGAGCGCTTGCGAGTAAGGATGGTTCAAATTTTGCTGTTTTAATAAGATCGACTGGGATTTGACCGCTAATTATTGGTTACGACGAGGCGCTACTACGCATTACTGTGACAAATTAGGGCCGCGTACTCCCTTGTAGTGAAATGCAACGCAGCACAACGCAGCGCAGCGTTGTTTTTTTAATGCCTTCCTGACAAAAAAAAACAGGCAGCTGATCATTTGTTGCGTAATATGAAAGCCACAGTGAAATACAATGGTCGCATTTAACATTTCATTGCGATGCTAGAAAAATGTGTTTTAAAATTTAATTGTGCCACTACTGTTGATTATATTACAATTAAATGCAAAGCTGCAAGCGAGCTGGACAAGAATGACGAAAATAAACCCTGGAGAAGGGGAACAAGAGGGACAAAGGACAAACACAAATCTCCAAACAAAGCTAGGTGACTAGTGCGCGACCGAAAAAATCCGTCTGGTCCGGGCATCGAGCCCGCGACCTCTCCATTTTGACAAAAATGACGAAAATACTGGAACACTTTAAATGGAGAGGTTTCGGGTTCGATACCCAGACCAGGAGGATTGTTTTGGTCGCGCACCAGTCACCTAGCTGTGTTTGGAGGTTTGTGTTTGTCCTTGGTCCCTCTTGTTTCCCTTGTCCAGGGATTATTTTCGTCACCACCAATGTCAAGGTTTAAAATTGTCAACCGAATGCAAAAGCAAAATACATTTGTTCAAGTTGCGAAATCAGAAGGCCGAACTTACCTGCCATGGAAACTCCGCCGGCAGAGCGTTTCTTCCACCGACAATCCTTGCCCTTAAGTGTTTGCTTTCTCCACACGCCAGGACTAGAATATAGCCAAATATCGTATGTAGATGCATTCTTTACACTCGGTAATTCCTCCGGCAAGGTGCAATTGGACATGGATCAATAAGACGTGCCATATATGATGAGTGAAATGCTCTGGCCAGTGTAAAACTTTAGTATGCCTGAAAATTCATGACATGCTTGAAATGCTACAAAAGACTTGCGACAGTTGCGTGGACAATACCAAGCGCCTCTTGATGCGGCGTCGTATTTAGCGTAATAGGTTTATAAAAAGAACACCCACTTACCTAAGGACATTACTTCAAGAGATAAAAGTAACCTAAAAACGCCAAACGTCATTCTTGGTAATCTGGACTAATAAGCGTTAACAAAGAATGCCCGCAAACGACTGCAGCTTATATATGCATATCGCCCGTCTAAGGCAACGGTGTCACCGGAACGCAGCTCACGCTGGAAAAATTCAGCTCGGCATCTCTCACTTTGGTTGTGACGGAAAGGAAAGGGAGAGGCGCAGGAACTAGAGCGCAACTCGCGCGACTTCAAGGGAGAAAATACACAACAATATTTATGAGACCTTGGTTTTTCTTTTTGTGTGCGCATCTTTGAAAGATGTTGGAAACGTCGAATTATGCAGATGCGCAGTGGGGCCTGTAGCGTTCAATTCACCTGCGCTATACCTGCAGGCTAATGAAGGTAGTTTCATGTGGATGTGTCCAAGCAGAAGATGAAGGTAGTCGAAGCTGTAAAGGTGAACTTAAAAAAAAAACACAAAAAACACTGGAATCCTCGGAGGGATTATCGATGATTCGTTGAGCCTTCATCGAGACGTCGGCTGTCATTTTGAAAATGTTAGGAGGCTAAATTCAAGTCTGGTGACGCCTAGCTACTCAATATAGCTTCATCACCTTTCGATAGCTTTAAACCAAAACCTCTACAATATAATATATATTTTTTTATTTGGGTAAGTATAATTAGCCTCCAAGGAAGTTCAACTTCTTTTTAAAATTTCAAATCGAACAAACAACTGGTGTCGAACTAGTACGTTCTTCACTGCCAAGCTCTCGAAGTCGTAAAGGATGTTGAAAACTCCACACCCTGGGGTGAAAGACGAGAGTGACGGTTGGCAAATTGAAAGCCTTGACACCGGTGGCTACGAATTGAAAGGTAAAGGAAGGGTGCAACATTAAAGTGGAAAATGAAAACGGAATATTGTTAGGTGGGTTAAATTTACCGCGGTGCATTGGGGCTTTTAATTGCTTCTTGGGAACATGCGCCTGCCGTCAGTTGTGGTTCGAATCTCGCAGGAATCTATGTTGAAGCCTCCGCTTCTCTGTCTTCCTGCAAGAAGTGTGTGCTTTCCAGCTTGCTTGAGCTCCTTTGCGTTTGTCAGGATAATCTATCTCGCTCGCATATAAAATCAGATCGGCCACTCATGCCTGGCAAATGAAGGGCCTCCCAAGCTCCCCCAAGAAGCAGCCAGCTGGAGGCGCCTCATGTATCGCTTTGCATATATTAATTCGCAGTATTTGAAACCACCGAATAAAGCATTGCGATGATGAGCTTTCTAGAGCCCCCAGTGTTATTTCTTTTTAAGGAGCATTTGGTGAAGTGAATGGTGAAGCCGAGTGGAAGGTAGACAATAAAACGACAAACACATCTTCACCACGAAGGTGTACTCTGTCCTATTAATTGCCTATTCCCGTCCAGGGGTTAAAACTCACTGCGTTTCACCAACTAGCCTGTCCCCTTACTGTTCTCTCATGCATTGAATGATCTCGTTGGGCAATTATTACATTCGTTGATGTGTCCAGTAATTAATATACTAAGGCCGAATATGCAACCGTTTTAAGAAAAATATATTGCTGTGGTATTCACTTGGCAAAAGGCAATAGATTCCAATAAATATTTTGGAGTATGTTAATTTGCGAATCACACAGCACTAGTAAGTATTTACGTTGTTTTGCAAAAACTGGCTATTCAAACATTTTTTTTAAAATTAGGGTAGGCGAACAATGCAAATTATTTTTTATCGTTTTACTCAATACATACTATATCACGCGGACTTACCAGA